AAAAAAAAAAAAAAAAAAAAGAATTTTGAATTTTATCAAATATTTCCCTTGATCCTAAAAAAAAAAAAAAAATTAAGCTAATAGGTAGAGAGCTTGAATAACTGGAGAAATTTACTTTGTATATAAAAATAGCAGATAGAAAGTGAAAAAATTCACCAGGCTTTTGGTTCACCAATGTGTATAATATTTTATCCCCCCACCCATTCTGTATATTTGTAAATAAGAGTAAAATGCTTATCTAGCAACCATTGCCCCTACTAAATATAGAAACTCAAGCTGGTTATTTGTAGCAGTAAGAAAAAAAATAGAAAATGTAAATTAAAAAATAATTTTCTAAGTATCAATATTAAAAAACAAAACTTAGAATGAAGTATATTAATGAAAATGAAACGGATCAAACTAAATAATTATGGATCCAAAGTTTGACTTTCAGTAAGTCAAATTTAAAGAAAAAAATAAAAGGCATTATCTTATGTCATAAAATATGCTATATCTATTAAAATCTCCATTCTATAACATAAGAACTGTTATAACAAAAGCTTATTTTGAAAATTAAAATAAATTTTGAAAAAAAGAAATAAAAGAAAAAATTAAATAAATACATCTATTTGAGAACAAGTTTAAAAGCATTTAAAATCAGGTTTCTTCATATAAAGTCTCTACTCTTATAATATCTGAGATTAGGATGTAAGTTATTCATTTGATAAGTAACCAGACTGACTCTTGCTTCACCAGAGTAATCAAAATTTGCAAAGAGATAAAAGTGTTAGTAAAATCACAGTAACCTAGAGATATGCCAACTTCCAGAGGAAGATGGGCACAGGGAGATAACTCCAAGTTGGTAACTCAGGATCTTTTCTGTTTTTTTTTTGTTTTTTAATGCATTTTTCTTTTGATTTTTTTTTCATGTGTGAATTCATATATATATATATATATATATATATATGGGAAAGATTTGGGTTAATATTTATGTTTTGTAATTAATCATTTTTTTTTTTTTTCAAACCAAGCTTATTCAAATGTCACCTTGTGTTAAAATTAAAAAAAAAAAAACAAGAAAAATAAGACAATTTTTTTTTTTTCATTTTGTTGAAAGAAAGTTCTTTTACCAGACAACAACCTTCCCAGCCATTAATTCCACATTTAATGAAGAGATGTTCTAAAGGGTTTGAGCATAATTTTCTTATTCACGTCAAATGAAAAGGCCACAGGAAATGCATATAAATCCAATTTTAAATTCAGAAATTAGTATGGCAACTGGCAATCAAAAATTAAGAAAAAATAATTTAGCTTCTAATCTAGGCAAAGCTATAGATTAAAGTTGTCTAGTTACCCCAGAGATAACAGGATATTTGTTTGGGATGACGAAAAAAAACTTAACTTTTTAAAATGGTGAATGAAAAATCAAGGCAGAAGAACTTAAATTGAACTATTTTTATTTATTTATCGCAAAACATGGAAAATACTAAGATCTTATTATAACAACTAATTTTGCTTTAATAAACAAAAGAAAACTGGCAAACTTAGAGCTATGGGCCCCACAAAAGAATGGAGTGTCAAAAGGATGGTTTTTCCATTGACACCACTATTATTTTAACTCCATTCACTCCCTGACAATGTTCGTTTTAAAAAGGAATGATTAGAATTGTAATAAAACCTAAATATATGAAAGTTAATTTATACATTTTCTTTGTTCTTGAGAACTTACAACAGAAATATTAAGCATTACTTATTCATTAGATTGTTTATTTACAAAAATAATTTTATATTTACAACATCCTAAAAACTAATACAATTAAAATTAATGCAATATTTATCATTTAGCAATTTATAAAGAAATAAATATGAGAACAATTTTTATTCATAAATTTATAAACATTTACTAAATTATTAAAATATGTGAGTCAATTATAAAGGAATCCTTATTATTTACCATTTTATAAAGTTTGAATCAATTGGCAATTAGCAAATAGTGTAAATAAACAATCTAATAGTGTTTATTATTTTTGTTGTCCATTCTCAAGAATAAAGAAAATGCATAAATACACTTTTATATGTTTAGGTTTTATTAAAATAATAATCATTGCTGAGGAGAGAAGGTAGTTAATATAATAGCACTGTCAATAGAAAATCGTTTTGACACTTGTTTTTTTTTTGCAGGCACAAAGGTCCAAGTTTGGCAGAAAATTATATTTTACTGTCAAGTTTTGGTTAAAAAATTTAAATCATTTACTAGCAGCATTAGGTTTCCTAATTATCATAAACTAAATTGAAAATACAAGGCAGAATTTAACAAAAGAAAGAAAAAGATAAACAAACATGGAAAATTTAGTCACAGCGCAAAGCAGGTAATGGCAAATAAAAACATTTTGATAAAGATTTTAAAAACCTCTTTGATTGAAAATAGTTGGAATGCGCTAAATCTTTTTTTTTTATACATAGAGAAGGAAATCAGAGAGCAGAATTCTTAAAGTTGGATAAAATTTACTCTGAGAATGAAAACTAATTCATATTAAGAAAATTTCTGTATGTAATTATTTAAAGTGACTAAACAAAATATATATTTTGATTAGCAAACTTGACTTATCAATTATTGGGAAGTTTGCGGGTTCATTTCTAACTAGATCCACTTCGATTACAGCCTTGTACCAGACTAAGTTTGGTACAGATTAGAAGGGATCTGGTAAACACAGTAAAAATACTAAAGATGAAGATGTAATCTTTATTTCTCTTAATAACAATAGTAAATAAAATTAAATGCTCATTGTCTCATTATTATTGGTATTATAATTTGATCTTATTATTTGCGTTCTATCTGTTGATTGACACATAGAACAAAAGAATTACAAAGTCTAATTACCATCAAGTAATATTCTGGTAGAACTATGTTTTGGCATGATACAATCTAATTGTTACCCCTTAGTAATTATAGAAAATAAAATAAGCAGTACATTATATATATATATATATATATATATATATATATATATATGCACACACTACACTTTGAAGCTCCCCACCACCCAAATTAGCATTGGATGAACTTGACAGAAGAGAAAAAAAAATGAAAAGAGCTCTTAGAGTCATTGAAAAAAAGAATGCAATCAATTATCAAACTTATATTTGAGAATCTTTTACAATAAATGCCAAAAGTGTGTGCTGCAGTAATCAAGGCTAAAGGAGGATATTTTGACAAGAGCAAAATTTAATGATAAAATGCTTTTTTCTTTTTGTCATAAAAAAATTGCTAATAAAAAATAATGTCTCACTTTTTTAAAAAAAAACTTATAATAATTTTCTCTTATTTAGCTTTTTGGACCAATTTAAAAAATTACCTGGGGGTTTCCTCAAACTTTTGAACTGTGGTGTATGTGTGCATGCATATATATATATATATATATATATATTACTTAACCGTTATTTTTAGTAGATACTCATATTTGAGTAGACGCTTTGTTTATTTATTAAACAGTATGTTTATTAATTTTTGTCTAATGGTCTGAATATTCAAGGAATCTTATTAAAGAGAAAAATGAACTCTCTGACAGGATTCAAACCTGCACCTCCCTTGGCAGGGGAAACTGTTGTTAGATCTGATGTGCTTTAGACCATCTTAGCCATGAAGTACATAGTCAATTAAGCAAAGACAAATAGTGCCATAAAAATGTTAATCTTTCTCAAACTCTCGAAATATTTATACCCAAGTTTCGTACCCTAACATAAAGCTGTTACTAAAGAAGTGATGGATTTCTATTTATTAATCTGACAGATTTTAACACACACACATTATATATATATATATATGACTCTCTCGTTGAATTCAACGTATGAGGGTCAAGCAGATTTGATTATAGTAGTGAAGGTTTAGTGCAGGACCATCCACACTTTTTGAAGGGCCAAATACAGAGACCTGGTGCACTATGTGCCACAGGGTCCCCAAATGACCCTCCACAGGTTTTGAATTCAGAGTTGTCCTTCTCCTAGACCAGATGCCATCCAAGGCTATAGAATCCAGTCTGTCCTGCTATTTACCCATAGTTGGAGGCATGGTGGAGTAATGGATAGCAGCTGGATTGAGGAATCAGAGAGCCAAGTTCAAATTCCAGTCGAATCCATTACATTCACTTATGTGCTAATACCCTTGGGGAAGGTGTGAATCCTCTTGATTGATTATATATATATATATATATATATATATATATATATATAGTATTATTATTAGTTTTATATATAAATATATATATATATTTTATGAAAATCTGACACAGTAGAAGTTTTTTTTTGTCACGCATTTTCGTCCTTTAGGATTTCATAGGACTAAAGTGATGTTTATGTTGACGTGATGTACACATGTACACATGAAAAAGAGGGAGAAGCTGAAATTTTAAATTAAATTTTTTTTAATATCTTCTACTATGTCAGATTTTCATAAAATAGTTCTTGATAGATAAAAATTTATATACATTTATATATATATATATATATATATATATATATATATATATATATATATATATATATATATATATATATATATCACACATTGGTGGGGGGTAATAAAACAGTGCTTGATGTATAGTAACAGAGATAAAATTTATACTAATGATGCTTATACATTGTGTTCCTTAGTGGTAGCACAACTTTGAATTTCATGCGCAATGCAATCGTCAGGTGCTGATAGATTTGACCTTAATGATTGTATCATGCATAAATCTCAGAGCTGTTCTACCACTGAGGAAGAAAATGTATATTTATTATTTGCATGTGTGTGTGTGTGTATATATATATATATATATATATATATAAAAAACTGATATTGAAGAAAATAGATAATGTGCTGTATGAAAGCCTTAGCATAAAGATGATGTGACAGGGACTGAAAATTGTTCTCCCCCCTGCCCTCAAGCTGAACTGCTTCATTGAACCTTGATATTAATAGGGAATTACTGGAGTTGGTTTTGTTTTGGTAAAAGCAATTTACAAGAGGTTACATTTCTCACTTTGCCGGGTAGATTTGAGCAGTAGCTGTGGGTACATTGATCTGGGTGGCAGCCGGGTACATCTGAATTGTAGGGAAGATCTGTGTGGTGGTTGGTGATATCTGTATTGTACTTGGAAATATGTGTGTCACGGGGTTCATCTGTGTGTACAGAGGGTACACCTGTGTGGCTGTAGGGTACGTCGCCTGGGTACTGCTGGCAACAACGTTTGTTGCTATGGTTCCCACATTCACCGCATGCTGCTGGGCAGTGGCCACATCCACAACAGTTGCATGCTGGGGTGTCACAACCACTTGCGGGGTAATACTGACACTCTCAGTAGTATTGTTGTGGGTGACGGTTGTAGTTGGGGTGGCTGTAGTGATGGTGGTAATGGCTGTCTCAGTATTAGTATCGGTGATGGTAAGGTTTGGTTTGATGTCTTTCATGATCTTGCTGTCAGGAGAGCTGGCAACTATTGTCGTATTGGGACTGTTGTTGTTGTTGTTATTGTTGTTGTTCCGCTGGGGGACACAGCTGATTTTAATGCCGTTCTTATTTGGCCGATTGTGCTTGACCAAGTGGTCTTTGCGGGAGAATGCAAACCCGCAGATCTGACACTTGAAGGGTCTCTCCCCGGTGTGAATCCTTTGGTGCACCTTCAAATATGACCGGTGCACAAATGTCTTGTGGCAGATATCACAGCTGAACCGTTTCTCCAGCTGGTGGGTGCCACGGTGCCGGGCGAGGTGGTCACTACGGTAGAATGCACAGCCGCAGATCTGGCACTTGAAGGGGCGCTCGCCTGTATGAATGCGTTTATGAAGCTTCAGGTGGTCCCTACGCGATAAGCACTTGCCACAGATGTCACATTTGTACTGCTTTTCGGCTGTGGTGACAATTGTGCCTGTTGGGACGGTGATGGCCGTCTGGGTGTGGTGGTGATGATGATGATGGTGGTGATTGTGGTGATTGCAGGTGTGTCCTTCCATTTTGGATGTTTTGTTATTATGCACAATAGAAAAAGAGAGAGTGGCTTGGTACGCAGGTAGAGAGATAGGCTGGCTATCTGATTGGCTGATGTTGCGGTAAAAAAAATTATTTTTGGTATTCTAAGCTGAGGACAGAAATAATACCAGTTGCTCAATGTTTAAGTTAGTTCGGACATGTAACAAAAGCCTATTGGTGCAATCAGAGAACAGAATAATTTGTTCAAATAGCATTGAATTTAAATACCTTGAAAGTTTACTATGTTTGAATTCAAAGTCTTATTACTTGTTTAACCAAGACTGTAATACAACTGAACAGTAAGTTTTTGAAAAGATTTGGTGATTCGACTGAAATTTTGATTCTGTACACACAATCAACCCTCATATGATTTCAGTTGATCTAATAATGTTGGGATCAGATTTGTATTTCTGATTCTATTGGAGATAAAACCTGAGTTAGAATACAAGGAGTTTGATTACTGGAATTGCATCATAAGTCCACTAAGATTTTACAAGTTTCAGCTGTTTTTTTCTTATTTTTTGTGATGATGATGATGTGCCTTCGGCGGCCAATGACTTTCATTCCTCTCAAGTTGGAAGGAAAGATAAAGAAAATGATTTATTTTTTTAATAAAATATTGTCTCATCAAAACCTGGACATTTCCCTGGGTAGATTCTGAAAAAAATAAACAAACAAAATAAATACAGTTATCAAAAAAATATTAGTAGTTTTTAAAATTTTGTAATGTATTCAGATTGTTACAATTGAAAAAAAAAACAAAAAACAAAACAAAAAACAATCAAATGTAAAAAGTTTCCTTCAAAATATATACTCGGATGAAATTGATGATTTCTTTGAACAATAAAAAATATTAAAAAATTAAAATCTTCAGACACGCTGGGTATTAATATTGTTTCATTTTTATTATTATTTCATTTAGATTCCGTGACTAGTTTCGGCCATCATGGCCATCATCAGGAAGAAAAAATTTCTGCTTGCTGATAGCAGTGAACTACAGAAATGAATGTCTTGATGGAGAAAATGAACTTTTGTCTGTAGTTTTCATTTGTTTTTTTATTTTTTTATCTTTTTAACATTCCTTGTGTTGGTCAAACAGTCTCTTTTAAGTTGTTATTTGAGATAAGAGCTGGATATATATATATATATATATATATATATATATATATATATATATATTATAAAATAACTGATTTAAAATGTTTTTTTTTGCTACACAGTAATAACCATATTTCAAAAATGGAAGCTAAAAGCTTCAAATTTAATTTTGTAATTAAATTAAAAACATTAGTTCCATTTCATCCTCAAGCGAATTTTGGAGTAACTTATTTTTTAAATTTACTGAGTTTTAAAGGTACAGAAAAATTCATAATTCACTGTTTCCAAAGATACAGAGAGATCCAATCATTCAGACAAGGGGTGGTAGCGTGTTCATTTTTATTAACTTTTGTTGTATTAGTTATTAGTTACGTTCTGCCCTGGTTCTTACAACATTTCACCATTCCTGGCAGATCTTCTATTATCACAATGCAGGGTACCTACTAACAAAAGTGATGGAAAGAAAATTCAAATTGAATTCAACGAGATATAAAAAAACAATTCTAATAATTCTCAGCATCCTTTGTTTGCGTAGCCATAACAACATAACAAATTTAGTCTGATGAAGTCCCAAAGTACAAATGTGTTTTGTACTTCGATAATAGAAGATCTGCCAGGAATGGTGAAATGTTGTAAGAACCAGGGTGGAAATTTACTGTAGACATTTATGTCGCAGTGAATTGTTTTCTCATTTCATCAGAGTAGTATTTTTTATGTCAAAATTGTGATCAGTCTCGTTATGGTGGGCACCCAACACATTTGATGTATTGTTTTATAAAATGTCCCTTTCGTGTTCATATAATTTTTATTTAAGTTCCTTGAGGTTTCCCCTAAGTACTTTTTGTGACAATTATTACTCCTTCAGGTTTTAGCCTATTGTTTTACTTAATATTGATTAAATCTTTTATTGTTTTGGATGTAGTAGTAGTAACAAATTTTATGTTGAGTTTAGATGTTTTTGAATTGTAGATGTGATAGAGTTAGTTGGTAGGATAAAGTATTCTTTTTATTTATTGGGTTTTCAGGAGGGGTGTTTATTTTTGGTTTTGGAATATGTTTTTTTATTATTGATCATATATGCTAAAACCCTTCAGGAAGATCAAGTCCCTCTGGTCAGCAGATGCAAGCTAGGAAATTAGTTTTGTAAAAGGCATTCAACCTTCAACTTTAAGGCAAGTGTGTGTGTGTATATATATATATATATATATATATATATATATATATATATATATATATATATATATATATATGCAATAATTTCAACTTTTTTCACTATTTATCATACCAATGTTATCATCAGGTGATAATATCATCTGGTTTGGGCAGCTCTAAAGTTTTCAACCATATCCAGATTTATTTTCTCCAATAATACTTTTAAATAAAAAAAAATGTTCAATGTCCACCAGAAATAATAATAATAAAAAAAAAAAAAAATTTTTTTTCTTATTTTACAATTTTTCTGGGAAAAAAATGATCAAAGAAAAAAAAGAAAAGTGACCAAAGAAAATTTGATGTTTTTGAGGTGTTGGTGATGATGATCATAATGTTTATTCTTTCATGGTGGCGGTAGTGATGATGATAGCTATTTTTTGTGGTAGGGATGGTGATAATGATTTTTTTGTGTTGGTGGCAACACTGGTGATGATAGTGATTTTTTTTGTTGTGGTGGTGATGATGATAATAGTGATTTTTTGTGGTGATTTATCATAAAAAAAATAATAATAATAATGATGATGTTGATAGTTTTTTGTGGTGGTGCTGATGAAGGTGAATTTTTTTGTGGCAGTGACAGCAGTGGTGTTGGTGGTGAGTTTTTGTGGTGACAGCAGCAAAGACACAAGCTACAATGAATATAACAAAATACCTGAGTAATCTTGTTGTGGGGTGGGGAATAATTATTATGAAGCCAGTCTACCAACTGGGTTGTGAGTTCATGCCTCCCAGATTACTGCCACAATTATAACCTTCTTCCAAACTAAGCAAAACTTGGGAGATACCTAGAATGAAAATAACCAATTATGGACAAATGACAGTTAAAAACCTGTTCCCCACCACCTCAATGATAGTTAATAAACAAATGAAATTCACCCCAATCCTTTTACCACATTTAGCTTATCCTGAATTTTTTTTTTATAATAAGCACATTGGCAATCTGCTTCATGAAAATCTGCTACATTTTAATAAATTGTCTCAGAAAGACTTAAAATAAAATTTTGAAAAATAGGCTTGATTTTTCTGTTTCTACTTTAGTCATTTTTTTAAAGATTCTTTTATATTCAACTCATTTTCCATTATGGAAGTAAAAAGGATTTGAAATTAAATAAAAGTGTTTATTTAAAAAGTAAAAAACTTTAAAAATATATGTAAATATATATACATAAATATATAAAACAATGGAAGAGAAATTTGAAATAATAAAAAAAAAAAATAAATAGCTCATCATAAAGTGGTAGATCAAAAAAGAATCAATGAAAAAAGGGTTAACTGGTTATTGCTCCTTGCTCTTCAGAACCAATTGAGGACAAAACATAAATCTGTGCATAATGACTAAAAAAAGGGGGGAAAGAAAAAATACTACCACCAGAGAATAATTAAAACCCAGCAACCATTACTTCTGCTTACAGAGGGAAGGCTGCTTAGACTTAATATGAATAGTCACTAGCACTCTCAAATGGTAATCCAAAGGTACTCTGCTGATTAGTATAAATATCTGGCGAAGGAAAAGGCAAGGCACAAGGTGAATTATTTATTAAGTGTTCTTGCAATCACAGAACCAGATGTACTGACAAGTGTATGCAAATATCATCATCATAAAGAAAGTAATAAGTAAAGAAGAAATTAAATTCTTAGATATGAGATAAAGCCGCCCCCAACAATGACAAAGTTTCCTTAAAATTCTAACTGCTTTTGCTTAATCTACCTTGGTGGGTAATGGTAATTTCATGGTTGGTCAGTGTTAAATTTTAGGTAACTTCTCCAAACAGTTTGGATACGTCAATTTGCTTAAAGGTGTCTTCACAACACGACACCCCAGCTTTCTAAATAAAGTGACTGACAAACATGCTCATAGGATCCTGGGATTTGTCCAACAATTCAGCCTCTCATATACAACAGACAGATTTTACAATCAACAGGTCTTTCCAATGGACAATCATCTGGTTGAGAATGCCATGACCTGAATGTGGGAGCTTCTAAGTACCCTTATATTTGCCCTGCTGCTTGAACCAAGTATTGGTCATCATTTGGTCTAACTCCTGGCAAGGCTTTAATAAGAGTAGCCCATTTGTATTACATTTAACCATTGCAGGATGTCCAATACTACTCAAAAGTTCAGAGTCATGTTCTACAGAGGCATTTACGTCAATCAGAATTGTAAGTCTGGCATTATTATCCACATTTTTCATAAGTGTCTTAAGATCCACATCGAAGCCATTAGTTTCATGCTGGGGTGGGGTGACAAGCATTGGTGTATATACACATATCACAGTCATGAATTGTCCAGATTAAATTGCATATGGAGTATCATTATTCAGTCAGAGAAACCATGAGGAAGTTCTGTCAAACACAACACTAGGTATCTGTCTATATTTTTGAGATGAGGTATTATGTACACTATTATTCGAACTATTGTCCTCATCTTTGTCGCCATATTTATTACAACGTTTTGACCATTGTACACTCCTGCCTTCTTCAGGTGGTTGGAATGTCGAACTGAACCCTTTATTTCACTCACTGGGGTAGACTGTTCTAGTTCCATGTGCCATGTCTATTGGATGTCAGTTAAGACATCCATTAGACATGGCACAGTGGATAAAGGCATTAGTTAGATCCATTGACAGGACTCAAAGAGTGCATCCATTAGACATCCATTAGACATGGCACAGTG